AGTGTTTACTAATGCTGTATGATAATCCCGTTGTAGAATCTTCAAATCCAGTCGTTATGTTTGTTTGCTGATGGAAGATGTCTGATCTGCTGAAGCACTTTTATGCCTTGTAATCACAGACTTCTGTCAGATGTATGCATTTTTTTTGCTTTCATCTTTTGGCCTTTGATATTGTCTTTGTAAATCCAGATATGACCACTAACAGATGACCTATCTGGCGTCATGCCTCCCAGAATTCGGCTTTGGCTAAAGGGTATCTCTAGCCTGAACAGCAGAGCCCCTCCTGATTGGCTTCTTATTTGCTAGGTTGTTGTTTTCCCCAAATTTGGATCCAGATTTGCATTTATTTGAGGCAAATTCAGTTCATGTAAGTCTTACATCCTCTGTTCTATCCCAAAAAGCACAAAACTAGACCAGTGTTAATACCCTTGTTTTGAACTTATGTAATACTTATCAAAAACCCAGCAATGCAGTGAAAAACTTGTGGGTGAACAAAGAAAAAAAAAATCTGTGAGAGGAGCAAATGGCAGAGAGACTGTGGCAGACTCAAAAATATCTATTTTCTCCATCAGGTCTCATGAGATAAGAAAGCAGCAGAGATAAAGGCCGTAGCGAACTAGACAAAAGCACAGAGGAGTGTATACCTCTAAAGTCTCTCTGAAAGAAGCCGCCTCTCCGAGGATTAAATTATTTGCTCCCTGCTATTGTATTGGAACAGCCAAGTTTGTATTTCCAAAATATTTGCAAAAGGCTTCGGGACATGATTTAAAGTGGCCAGCATACAGTATGGACTCAACCTGGCAATACAGCCATGCTTCAGCGTCTACGCCAATGATTATATTTCCTCACTATCAGCTAATTAGACTTCAGTAAGCACCAAGGTATATATACATGTAGTCCAACTCCAGCTTGTAGATACATTTGAACTCAAATATTCTTTTAGGTTGTGTTCACACTTTGTTTCTTTGACTAAAAGCAAATTTAACAGTCCTTGTAACATCACAGATCGGTTTCAAAAGAAGAGAACTGACTAATGTGACTTGTGGACCAGTGCACACTTGTTGCTACATTTTCATCCTGAAAATATTTTAGAATTAGTAACAAGGTTATGGCTGACAAGACTTCAGAAGTTGTATTTTGTTTCACCTTTTCCCATTAAGAGGTGCTCTGTTTTGGAAATGGAATAACAGAATGACAGGGCCTTGGCGGATTTTGCCCTTGCTGTTGACATAAGCCATTCAAATGAGTTCCAGGCAAGCTTTGAGTCTGAAACTTTATTCCTTTCCTGATTAAATTATTATTGGGCTGCAGCTATCTGTTTTTTCATCAATATATGTTACTTTCCAAAATAATCATGTTGTGATAATAATAACAACAATGGAAATAGCATTAAACAGTGTTACTCCATTTTCAAGGCGCCAAATAAACAAGTTTTTAGGTATTTTAAATCATTTTTTCATCATGTACGGTCACAGTGTGGATTTTGTGATATTTTGTACTTTGGTTTTATTTTGATATCAGTTCTCAGTTGGTTTGATTTTAGTTTGATTTCCTGTCTTGTTCCCCTGTGTCGATTTTCTGCCCTGCCCTTATGTGTTTTACCTGTGTCTTTGTGTGTCATTATGTACCTGTGCTCCTCTAGCCTTGTACATTGTATTGTCTCCGTCTTTGTCCGTCCGTAATCCTGGTTCCTGAGTTTTTGTTTGGATTTTGTGTAATTTACTTTTTTTTTTTTTTTTTTAAACCTTGGGCATTATTTTATCATCATTAAGTCATCATTTTGCATTCCTACATCTTGAGTCCTTCTCCTTTTCACCTCATGACACGTACATTCACATGCATTGGATAATTCCGCAGAGTTTACAAAATTAAGAGCCAACCTTTTGCATCTGTAATAATTAATCAATTTGTGTTTATCTGGTGTAAATGTTCACAGAGTGTAAAGTCTAAACTAAACTGACTAAATGGTTTAATTTCAAACAAACATGAGGGGTTGAAAACGATAAATGCATCAAATAGGACACAATGCTTTCCCTGCTGTGACTTGTACGTTTTTGCACCTCTCCACCATTCACCAAATCTTATCTTTCTCATAGAAACAAATTGTTTTGGGAGACTGTTTGCACCTTTACGACATCAGTGATAACAATTCATGCTATTTGTGAGAGTGTACACAGTCTCGCTTCTGTGTGTGCGTCACCATTAAAGCTGGCTTTCCATATATCTATAATCTTCAGCTGTATTGTATTTTCTTCTTATCCTTCTGAAGATGTGTCCCCGACTCCAGCTGAGGCCCCTGTTCTGCGCAGTATGTATTCCGCCTGGAGCTCCCCCACATAGATGTAGCGCTATAGTCAATACTGTAGCTGTGGTTCTCGTCAATAAAAACACAAAATGGTGTTATATTTAGCATCTTATCCTTTGCTTTTATTTTTATTTACAAACCCAAATCATGTCTACCAAAGATTTCTAGTTGGAGTATCATTTCAAAATACATACATACACATTTTGGCTCTAAAAAGTTCCAGTTCACAATAATCACCCTATTTTTTCCTATGAGTAAATTCATAGAAGATCATCCATCAAATAAAGGAGATCAAACGAACGGATCACACTAACATTGATCAGTGTTTCCCAACTTTAAGCTTCCGCAGGGGTATTACAGGGACTTCCCTATATGATGTTCTATATTAACTTCAAGCATCGATAGGAAGAGGTGTGCTACCAAGGCATCCTATTTTAGAGGACATGTTCTCACCAAAACAACCATTGAACCCATTATACAATATATAATTATCTGTCTATGAGTCTACAAGGACAGTACTCAATTACTTTAGATCAGTTCATTCCAAAATGAGTCTGACACCCCTGGGTTACTTGAATTAGCTGTTCATAGTAAAAAAGGTTGGGAACCATTGACATGAGAGTTGGAAAAAACTAAAACATAAAGTTGGCCACTGCCTGTCTGAGAATATGATATATATAGTGAGTCAACCACAATTTTATGCCTCAGAAATTTCCCCTATTGATTTTTTTGATACTCTCTGCCATTATTAATCCCATTTTCTGCTTACTCTCACTATTTCCTTTCCCCTTGTAGCCTATAGAGATCCTTCCTAGAGCACAATCATATAAAGTAGAAACTTGTGACAGTGATGGCAGCAAGATTCTCACCTCAGAGACTTGTCTTTTCATTTCAGGCCACAACTGCTCTCACTCCCTCTCCAGCTCGTCCCCTGCCAACGCCGCACGGCTGCCTTTAGGTACACCTCACCTCCAAGGCGCTTGCAGACAATATCCATGTGATCTGATACGCCCCAACTTCTTTCCCACAATGACAGCCTAGTTGAAGCGATCGGGATATGAGTTGGAAGTGGGGGGGAAGGCTTTGAGAAGATGTCATTTTCGCTTAAGACAGTCTCAAAAGTGACGACTACATGTCATTCCCGCCTCCCATCTCTGTATCTTCCCTTTATGAGGCAGAAATCCAGCTTCAGTCAATTAAGTGTGCAGCCCTAGTACGGCTTTTCAACTGTCGCTCTGAAGGGTTTGTGCGAGCTCGTCTCCTCTCCAAGCTCCGGGTGGATCCTATTTGCCTCTGCTAATCCTCTTTGCCTGACTCTCTGTCTCCGTTCTGTGTTTTCCTTTCCTCCTCCCGACTCCTCTCTCTTTATCAGTTCCAGCCCTGTTCAACATAAGCTCCTATGTGAGTGACACCTATGCCAGAATCAGCTGGACTGCCACACAGGAGCAGCACGACTTGCAGCTTTATGTGGCGTATATGGATAACCGTAAGGCAGTAGCTCGTAGTAGTAGTAGTAGTAGTAGTAGTAGTAGTTGTAGCAGTAGTAGTAGTTGTAGCAGTAGTAGTATAGTGTCATTGTAGTTCTCAACATAATAGCATGGTTACATATGTGTGATTAATACTTGCCCGTGGACTTTGGCATCATCCATATGGCGTCCAATGTAATCCTTTGTTCTGAGAAGTAGTGTTAAGAACAATAGTGTTTAATCATTTCATATGTATATGCTAAGAACTTGAATGTTTTTGTGAATAATCATTCGTTAACGGAGAAGAGAGAACAGAAAAAAAAAGAAAATCACTATAGAATTGATCATCATGACTGAAAATAATGTAATGAATTTGTTTAGTAGGCAAATGGGACAATATAAAATATATACGTTTAATTATATGACAATTATTTCACATTTAAAACCTTCACCCATTCATTTTATTTTTCATTCCCAGGTTAAGAGGGCAGCAGCCTGAACATCCCTGTCTATGCACACATATTGATTGTTATCTCACAACAATATTATAATTTAGACAGTTTGACTTCACAACACCACTGGAATAAAAGGGGAAAGACATATTCTTCTTCTTCAAATAACTGTATCATTGACATCTGATTGTGTCAGCGGATCCTCCACTCAGACTTCAGTTGGATGATGTCAGCCCGCAGCTTGTTAGTTTTACAGTACACGTCAAATTCCATTGTCAAGTCTTTCACAAAGTGTCCAAATTGTGCTTGACTGTAGGGGATTGTAAGTGGCAGATTTCCTCAGCTGTGAATTCCTCTCAAAGCTTCCACTTGCTCGAAGGTCTTGAACCTGGGACGCTGTACACTGTGCGCCTCATGTCCAAGAGGCTGTTTGATAACGCTAGCATTTATGAAGATATTTTCCAGACCCAAGACAAAGGTGAGAGGTGCAACTCTGTCAATACTATGAATATAGAATAGCAAACATTGTAGCGGGAGGAATACTAACATATCCACTGCAGTGTACGTGTTATTGAACCAAACATGTAGGCATATAGATATTTTTCTTACTGAATTAAATCCCATTCTGTGCTGTTTTTTGTCCGCCAGAAAATAACATTTGCAAACCTGAATCTTGTGTTTTGTTTTCACCCTGGTCTCATAAGAACACTGCTGCAGGGGACTGTTGGACTCTAATATCAGGCTGTGTGAACTTGAATCTTTTGTTTTTGTCCTCAGGAGTGGCCAGTTTGCAGCGAGACACATCAACGCGAGGCTGGCTGATCGGGACCATGTGTGCGGTGGCTCTTTTAACCCTGATAGCGCTCATTGCCTGCTTTGTTCGGAGAAACAAAGGAGGGAAGTACTCAGGTACGCCAGCGAAGCCACAGGATACGCTGTCCATGGAGCAAGGTCAGTTAGAAATGGGACGGGGAGGGACCCAATGGTGTTTCAGGATGTCAACCAAAATCATAATTATAACATCCAAATGCTTGTTGCTACGCTGCACTGTATGTGCATGTAATTGTATGTAATGTGTATGTAATTGTAGATCTTGGCTTGCTTGGTGCCAGTTGCATAAGCTACATACTTAACTCAAAACATTAAAGCGGGCTTACTTGATTATTTTTACATAGTGGACTATCTGGTCCACTATGTCTATCTGCACATATGCGGAATCATATCAATTCTACCTAAAAACGTATTTTGATAAAGTTGTCCACATAATGCTGCCAAATTCTTACTGCCCATTGCGCAAGTTAAGCATAAAGGAATATATTTTTGCTGCTATCATGTTGGATCTGTTAAAAGCTTTGCCTGTGCAATAGTGCGTCATCATCATCACGCCGTCCCTCTTCATTCTGGAGATTGGTCCCCAAATCCATGCGAACAGTTTGGGCCGAGTTTCCAGGGCGTTATGCAGTTTGAAATTATTTGAGTGCACACAGGAACATAGGAATTCCCAGGCTAGTCGTCTTCATCTTATCAGAAAAACTGTATCTTTAACAGTCCTGTGAATCACTATTTGGCACTTTCTGGAGCTGAGGAAGGATTGGCGTAGTGGTTTGAAAGTTAGCTACCCCAGCTTTAATTTTAATTCATGTATGCAGTATTACATCACATAACATAGATATGATCATTTGCATATTTGAAGTGGCAGTTGACGTTAGAAAATATCAAATGCAACAAACCCAAACTTAAATACCTTAGTTATGAATGTGAAAAACAAAAACATCCTTATTTCAAAAAGCCTTTACCACATGGGGCCAGCAAACAAAGCTTCTGATTCTTTAATTAGATGATGTTTTTGATTTTGGTTGACCTTCTGAAAGATCAAAACTGCGCTTTGGGCCTGCTGCCTGACCTCGCACCCCTCCATCTGGACCTGCTGGACACCTGTGCATGTAGACCCACTAAATCTCAACACGATTAACCCTGAGTGACCTGTCCAGTCACAGCCCACAGCAGTGTGAAAGCCCTTTGTTTTGCATTTCCCTGCTTGTGGGTGTAATTTGCATGGTCCCTTTAGTTCCGCTTGGTTCACCTGATTAGATGGGCTGTCGACTACACCAGTGAGAGTGAGCTGGCTTCGTTCCCTCGCACCTCTGAACCTTCCCTCAGCTGCAGCCAAACTCTCAGCTCAGTGCTATACCGACAAAATGTCTCTTACCTCTACTTTCGATCTCCCTTGTTTGCCGGCAGTAGCTTTTGACTCTATGCATTGAATATTTTATTAGTGCTTTTTGTATTCCCCTGTTTGTCATCTCTTAAAAAAGCTTTAGTCCTTTGCTGGTATTTCAAAGTATGTTTACACAAAGAGGTTTGTGCAAAACTGTACTGACTCACTGAAGCTCGTCTTGTTTACTGAGCTGTCTTACATTGTTAAAGCTATACTACACTCCTATGTTGAAACACTTTTTCATTCACCTACACTCAACCTACATAGTTACAGCTTACATGTTATTTAAACTTGCTTTCCTCAAACTGATAGCTGACCCGATTTTTTCTTGGATTTATCTAAATGTTCTGAAACAAGAAAAAATATAATCACTATAAATGAAGGAATGTACAATAACCAGGTATCAGAAGGATAGTTTAGGAATGATTAAACATAATTAAATGGGTCAAAAAGTGAATTCTTGTAACTATATGTTTTCAAATTAGCGGATTAGTGGATGTACATGTGGAATTACATAGAAACACAAGTGTCCCTGAACCAGTGTGCTGAAATAGCTCTTGTTCCCTGCAGTGAAAGAGAAGGAGGACCTCCACCCTGACGTGGAGTCACAAGGAATGAATGATGACACCTTCTGTGAATACAGGTGAGTGGAACCAGAGAGCTCCAAGCAAATGACATTTTTAGTCTCCTTGAAAAGCAACGCTGTATTTATACTACCATATGTTAAATATTTCCTTCTCTGGAAACTCATTTGTCATCTGTCTCTGTTGTTTTTTTTATTCTCAATCCCAAAAGCAAAGCGTGCATGCATGAGCCGTACCAGGATCAGCATAGGAGTTGTTCTCGACACTTAAAGGGCTAGGTAATCCCACGGTGTAGCTAGTGCAGTAGTGACAGTGTTTGTTCTTATTGTGCTTTTACTTTGTTTCTAGACTGTGAGTGTCTGTGCGCAGTCGGATGTGAGTCCATTCATTCCCTTTTCCATTGAATGAATGCATGTGTTCTGTGTCCTGCACTTGTCCACATCATTTCTTTTTCCCCAGTGGTTCTAATGAATACTTCCTGCATCCTCATTTTATTGTAATCCATGAGTGTGTGTGAAAATCCCTGCATGCTGCTTTCCTGTGTAATTGCATCTTGAGAGACATAAAAGCTGCGAATTATAGTTGTTGTATCATAGCTGTTGAATTGATGCCAAGCAGTCGCAGTAGCACAATACAAACATTACCAAACAAAGCAATGACAGCACATTTTTGTGGTTGTGAAATGTTCTTTGGGACAATCTGCAGGGGTGGCGAGCACAGTCTGTAGTCTTATGAAGTCAAAAGGTATAGGACAAAAAACCGTGTTTTAGATGGATCAGTTTCAAATGTTACCACATCACAATGTTTCCAGTCTATGAAACCACCCTAATTGGCAACAGTAAGTTGGACTTGAAGTAAATGTCTGTCAGCTTATTCTACAATTTTCATATAAAAAAGCTCAGAAGGGAAAAGTCTTGTCCATTACCGTAATTGCATATTAGTAAAATCATTGTATTAGAACTCAAATTTTACCACTACGTTCGGAAATTCATCACTTGATACTAAACACAAAATAGGGACTTTATTCTGCTTAAAGAGCCGTCAGCTCCGGGTTAATTAACTCTTACATAAGTCTCCTGTGAATCCGTCATCTGTGAAAACGTCCGTAATAAGGAGAGGCTTGAGAGTGGAGGATAAAAGTGCAGTCATTTCACAGTCTAAAAGCCATAAACTTGGGGCTTTGCAAACGGCTGCAGAAAATGTGCTTTTAAGCTGGGCTCGGACAGCTGTTGTACAGTATAATAGCCATTGGATTGGTATTGTTTGCGTTGTTTTCTCTGTTGCAGTGACAGTTTAGGGAAATGGAGTGAATCCCATTTTGCTTGACAGCGACGGGTGACAATGGGCCATTTGTTTGTGCTCTGGCAACAGAAATCACCTAAAATAGCCTCCTCTGTCAGCTTTGATTTGACTCGTCATCATATTATCCCTTACATGATTACTCACAATTGTGGGGCTGCTGCCAATCCCAGCCCCGCCGTTTTCTGCCAACACAGAAATGTATAGAAAAGGGGAAATACATAGTCTGTTATGTTGCAAGGCCGTTTAACAATGCTACAGCTTTGTTTAAGTTATGATACGTATATATTTATTGGTGTACTGATTTGACTCTAGAACGATTTGATCAAATCAAGAAAGCCTTTTCAAAGACAGACTGACAGACTCTTGCACTCAGACACACTCAAGTTTTATCCGACAGTACTAATCAAAAGTTATAGTAACAATATGCCTTGGGAATAGCTAGGGCTCCAGACTGCACTAATGTGCTGGCTGTGAGTCACCAATATCATAACTAAGGGTATTTGTGGGTGGATCTGTTGTTTGCAGCTTCCAGCCTAAGGATGGCACAGATATAGTATATTGTACTAAAATGTTTTTTTGCAAGACACAGAACTAGTTGGTTGAGAATGTTTCTGGTATTAACATTTTGCGCCATGCAACCCTCCGGGGCGAATCAACATCGTCGATGATGACTATGATGCCAGCAGACTCACACCTCCAGGACGTCCTGGAGAGGTAATGTGGCAAAACAAACCTGTGCTTGGTTCAGGAAGTAAACTTTGAAAGGTTTCTGTAAAATAGTACTATTTCTACAGAAACAAGACAAGTATGTGGGAGGGTTGTGGAAATGAAAGCCCACTCAATGGATACACTTTATACTATTTCAGTGCAATAAAGTGCAAGTGAAAGAACAACCAGAACCACCACTGAACAGATAACTGCAGCGAGTCTATGTGTGTAAAGAAGAGTGGGTTAGTTTTGAATTTGCATGAATCAAAATATTTTTTTACAATTTACAATTCAACACAATATTCTTGAATTGTGGCTGTCTGACTTATTCACAACTGTTGTTTTCCCTCTTCTCTCATCAGTAATGTTTCATGGCCCGTGTGTTTGGGAGCAGCAGTATAGACGTGTTGTATAGTGCAGATGTCCTGTTTAGAATGCTCGTCATGGCGCCCTCTCTCAGACCACGGTCCCCCTGTGCACCCTTAGCTGCTCTGTGATGTGGCTTCCTCTGCTTTAGTGCTGCGTTCAGGGCTCTCTCGTGGCCTTTGAATCTCACAAGGCAATAGACCTCCTGTAGCGCCGTGGCTCGTGTCCGCCACTCGACAAGTGATAATTATATCCTTCTCTATTCCTCTTCCGAGACAGACCTGTGCTCGATGGCCCTCTGTCCGGGCAGAAACAGCAGGTGTTGTGGCCATTGCCACTTGCTGCAGCTCGTTTGTTTGTTTTGTGTGGCTGCTCAATGTGCATCTTTTTATATTTATGTCCAATTTGGAAGTTGGCAGCACATGTGTGAAACTTTCCTCTGCAAGCGATAACAAAAAATGATTTAAATGTGAGCAAAAGGAAAAAATGGTTTCTCTCAAGGTGGAAAAAAGGAAAACAAGTTTTACCAAAGCAATTTACTAAAAGTGATTTTTCTGAAATGTTTTCTAAAAAAGTGTGTTGTCACAAAACACTTTTCTTTAATCATTGATTCTCAGAAGTGTTTTTTTATATTTGTAGATACTGTTTGCTTCCTATTAAAATACTATGGTAATTTTATTTTGATTTGTTTAAAGAATGTAAATACCATTCCACAGTAACTAAATGGAATAGATATGAAGTCATTTGGTAGAGCGTGTCTTGAAACCTGAAATGTGGATCCAATTCCTATCCTTAATACTGGTCAAGCAATCAAGTCCAGTGATCCAGAGATATGCACGGATTATAGGTAGTTTTACATTTGATTCATTAATTTCACATTCCGCAAAAATCCATATGTAATTTTATAAACTTAATTTAAGCATTTGTTTCAGCCCTACTACTAACAACCGCCCTGAAAGGTGGAACCGTGCTTTATAAATATGTATAGTGGCCATGGTAACATTTTCTAAAAATGTAGCAATATTCTTTATTCTGGGCGACAGTGGCTCAGTGGAAGAGCATTGGCCTGAAAGCTTGAAGGTCGTGGGTCTTTCCCCACCGATTCCCACTGATTTCGTTGTGTCCTTGGCAAGACACTTCACCCACATTAGCTAGATTGAGTCTTGTGTGTGTGAATGGCTGGTAGTGGTTGGAGGGGCCGTTGGCACATACTGGTTGCCTCGCAGTGTGCCCCAGGGCAGCTGTGGCTTCAGTAGTAGTTTATCATTCAGCGCTATATTAAACCGATGCAATATTGGTCCGTAGATTCTTCGTTAAATAATTTTTCAAATTAAAATCGAAAATGAAATATCTTGAAAAATCCGTGTACCCTTTGATCATTAGTTATTCCGTTTCAAAATAAAATCAGAAAAACAAATTACGTGGTTTCATTTCATTTCATTTACATCCCTTTATTTTCCATTTCTGGGTCAGGGGGGTGGCAATCGGAACTGCCACCCAATTCACACAGCACCAGTCCCTTGCTGATCTTCCTGCAGGTGGTGGGTCCACGGGAAGATGGCTGCTCCTTCGACACAGATGCAGCCTTGGTCTTTCAGCGGGGACTTCAGGCACATTGGGGTTAAGTGTCTTGCCCAGGGACACAACGGCAGCAGTTATCAGTGGGAGCAGCTGACACGGGTCGTGGTGGGATCGAACCCACAACCATTAAGCCTAGCGTACATCGGACTGGCAACTGATTATATCCGTCGCATATGAGTTGCTGCCCCGCACACATCGACAATCTGACGAAAACGGGCAACTCCCAGTCGCAGACCAGTCTCGGGAATAACAGCGCGTACATCGACAGCAACTGGCCTCAACTACAGTGTGTTTTCTGACATAAACTGTTGCGGGCTCGCAACACACGCAATACACACACGTTGTCGGAGCGGCGCATGGAGCGCGCACATCGGGTCATATCTCCGAAACTGAGGACAACTAGTTGCCGAAAAGTAGAACACGGGCAACTGACTGAAACTGGAGACCGACTGATCATCTCCAGTTGTAAGAGCGCGCACATCGACCGATTTCGGCAACTGATCATCTCCCATCATCTCCTCTCAGTTGCCAAAAGCCGCCTTGCAACTAGTTGTCCCCAGTTTCTCTGTCGATGTACGCTAGGCTTTAGGTCCAAAGACCAGTGCTCTTCCAACTGAGCTACTGTCGCCCCAAATTGGTTGTTTTATTGTATTTCCATTTTCTAAATTAAATTGGAAAATCAAAACATTCTAAATGAAATATTCACCCATTTCTTTGCTATGCAGTGGAAACAAACACTACTAAAACAACTTCCATTATTTAGTTTGATATGCTACCGGAAATGATGAGTGGTGAGAGACGGAAACAACTGCAAGCTGCACTCAACTCACCTACACGACAACAACTCGCGCTGTTGTTGAGCTCGCCCCCAGGCCCGAGCTCCAGGGGCAAAATGATTACAGTACCTGGTATTCCCAGGCGGTCTCCCATCCAAGTACTAACCAGGCCCGACCTTGCAAAGCTTCCGAGATCAGACGAGATCGGGCATACTCAAGGTGGTATGGCCGTAAGCACGGGGTGCCTCCTGACCCTGCGGCTGCAGTCCTCTCCTCCCCCAGAATGAGCGCTCTTGGGCGGATGGCAGGCGCCACCCCGGTGGTTTCCAAGGGCCATAACTTTCCTGTCCTTTATCCCCCGCGCGTCAAATTCACACCGCGGGTGCCCTGGGACCAGGGGAGTCCCTGGGTCCCACCCCCGTGTCTCTACCCTCCCTGGCTCGGCTTTGAGGAGTCCGGAAAGCCGGGCTTCCTTCCCCCGGGAATGAGCGCTCAGGCCCGGGTCTGAGCGGGAGCAAAGCCCTCCCCGGTGATAGCCCAGAACCGGAGGAGTGCGTGGGTGAAAACCCTGTGTCTCTAGCACCCCTGGTTCGTTTTTGACAAGCCCTGGAAGCCGAGCTTCTCCTCCCCCAAAATGAGCGCTCTTGGGCGGATGGCAGACGCGCGGTCCCCCGGTGGTTTCCAAGGGCCATAACTTTCTGGTCCTTTAGGGGAGTCCCTGGGTCCCACCCCCGCGCCTGTAGCCCCCCTGGCTCGGCTTTGAGGAGCCCCGAACGCGGAGCTTCCTTCCGCGAGGTCTCTTCTCTCTTCCGGTGTCGCAAATAATAATAAAACAAATTAATAGTAATGCCATAATTCTTTTGAGAATTTTAAACAACTAGAGCCAAAACAAACACATTGATTTTTAAGCATAAAGGATATATTTTTTTATTCAAGTTTAGAAAAGGAAAAGAACAATAAACAAATGGAAATTTTGATTTTCTGATTTTATTTTGAAACGGAATAACTAATGATCGAAGGGTACACGGATTCACGGATTACCATTATTACTTATTATCATTATTCTGTCTTTTTTAAATAAATGAATTCATACAAAGGTTTTTTTTAGAGAAGACAGACAGGAAATATATGCTTGCCCCATGTCTTCACTCAGCGGTACTTCAGCGGGGCTCTGTCTACTGGATCTGGGTCAATGAATAGACAAATGTAATGAGCACCTGCCTGTGATGTGTCACCGTCTCAGCTGTTTGCAGGGGTGCACATGAGCAGCGCCAGAGCATTCCCAATGTTCGGAATGAGTCTGGGCCTTCATACACTCAGCCCCATTTTATCACTGCATTCAAAGTCACTGTGGGCGGGCCGCTCGACTGTGGCTTTCTACTGCTCTTAGATAACAGCCACTTATCTGCCAAGCTCTCGAGTCGTCAGAGAAAGGAGGCTTGATAAGGTTTGAAATGCAGACCCTATGTGGCCCGCATGGTAAACGCTGCCATGAAATAGGATAGATAAGATTGGCTATTAAAAACCAACGTGAAGGAGAGCTGTTTGGCAATCTTGGAATCGAAACTCAATGAATGTCAAACTGCTTTTTGACTCCAGTCTCAACTACAGTGACTACAAATGGATGTCGTATATTGCACACTCTTCACCTGGATGTTAGAGACTATTTATCTGCAGAAAAAAAAAGTCGAGCTGGGGCTGAAGAAATACAGATTACAGTATATTTGTACTGTAAATTGGTTCCATTATATCAGATTTAACTATTTATGGGCCCAGAATGCTGATATATATATATATTATGTGTGCTTCAAGGAAAGATATTTATATTTTTTTCTGTTAGAGTATTGGTGTGTTAATTCTATGAGTGCATCTCTCTCCATAACATTTCAACTTGAAGGTCAGATAATTTTCAAAAATAAATGCCAATTACACCAGCCTCCACAGGGTCCTGATTGGATGCAATGATTTAAAATTCTTAATAGACAGCTGAGGCCTCTCACTATTGGTCTAACTATTCTCCTTCAGAAAATATTACTGGTGAGGCTTATTCCATTAATGAGAATAAGCCGGTTTTAAATATATGTATCACAAAACATACACTTATTATAGATGACACTACAAGTTCATGTCGTCAACAAAATGTATTATTTTACAAATGAAATGCAATTGAAGTTGCAGACATCATCATTTAGACGTAGAAGTAACATATCGAGTAGTCAAGATTTTTTGAGACGGTTCCTGTGTTTTGACATCTTTCAAACAATTTTCCAGCTCTAAAGAAAATTGAACCGAGGGTTTGACAGAGAGCAGATTTTAGTGCATTAGAATGTGACCTGCTGTCTGCACTGCGCTGGGCCGATGGACTACTTTGTTCTGTGGAGCATCAATGCGCTCCAAATACAAACCGCCTGATGCTATTCTTGGTTTTAGTTTGATGATGCTACCCACATATTAAAACAACTGTATGTAAATCTGCTATCTCCCTAAAAATAACCTCTCTTTCACAGTGCACCTGGCATACCAAATAGTCTACTTAATAACACTCTCCAATAGGGCAGGCGGCCATCTTGCTATAAACATCTTGCCAAGTAAACTTTGCTAAGATACAGAAGCCAAGATTTACAACAAATATGCGTGAACATGGTGCAGAAGGTAAGATTGGAGACGCCAGCTGCAGGTAGCATATTTAATTTATCACGTTATTTCTAATGCAATAGAAAAATGATGAAAATGACAGAGAAACTTTACACAGTTTTAAAAATCAATGTTCTGTGAATATCAAGCACAAAACCGACACCGTGTTCGCTTGTTTACAAATGGCACCATCGCAGACCAGCCTCTTCAGAGTCTAGTCTCATATGGACTGTGTTTAGAATACTAAGGCCACTGGAGAGACAGAGTGTGACCAAACATAGATGGTTTAGGGAATTAGAACGGAGGACAGCGGAGGGAGAAATATCCGCAGTGTTTTGAGGTGACCCCACATCTTGTAGCGAGACACCTGCTTGTTGGCCACTTGCCCAGCTTTAAATTGGCATCTAATCTCTTCGGCCCGCGCCTGGGACCTCCGGGAATACCAGGAATGACAGGCTGTTTGTCTGGAATTGCATATGCCCCACCTTTCCCACCATTTTTCTCCCTCTTGCTCTCTCAATCTCCCCTTCACACTCTCACACACATGCACACATATGCTTCTTGGGGACATCACGTTGATTTCAATAGAATTTATTTTGTGTAAACTTCTAACTTAAAGATGTGGTCTGTTATAGTTCCATAGATAATTTATGTTGTTCCCAACAGAACAGAAACAGAAAGTGAGTATGGGAACTGGTTTTAGTCCCCATACTCTGTGATAAATATCGGTCTAAATACACGCACGTGCCTTACCATGCGAGGATAATACATTACTATGAAATGTATCTTAAATTTTTTTCAAAGACATGTTTTTAGATGTTGGAAGAGTGATCATGAGCGTATCCATAATCACTACTTACTGCAGAGCCATAACCTCAAAAGCAAAGCCAACAGTGAAGATTTCAGTCCCCAGAATGTGATGAATACCCGCCCCCTTACACAATACATATCCACAGACACGGAGCCACCCACTCGTCTCACTGTTTGGAATGGAGCAGCTCTTGGGCAATTTCCATGGCTGCCTCTAAAGAGATTTGAAATTGCCTTTGGTCCTGAAGCCCTGGCAATTAGCAATTAGTAGAGTGATTGTATAGCAAGCTCTTCTCTGCCTCCCCTGGGCGAGCTTCCCCCTGCCTCGGAGCTGGAGTGATGTACTGAAGCTATAAGATGAGTGGAAGCTGTCAGTGTAGCCATGCGTTTAATACAGTCTATACACACATATACACACACACACACACACAGTACACACACACACACACAGTACACACAGTAGAGCCGGATCGACCGCTGCTGGTCTGGGAGCTCCAAGCACGGTGGGATGGTGTTGTATGGGCAATCATCAAGTCCAATTAAAATGTCACAGAATGTATTATGAATGGGACAGGTTGTTATGGTTTAATTGGTGAATCTAAATTGGTCACAGTGAATGAATAGCAACAATGAATTGTTTCATACCTGCAATTAGTTGGTCTTCCAAAGGCACATGAAAACCAGTAGATGAATAGTTTTGCGTTTGAGGTAAAACGTGAACAAAATGTTCGTTCCAATTTATTTCTATTTCAGTTTTAGATCACACAGTTGAACAGTTTTTGCAAAGATGTGTTCTTTTCAACACCGTTTTTTTTTTTGGCACCTCCTACCGCACATTTTTAAAAAAGGTTTAGGTTTGACACACTCACGATATGAAAGATCAAAGATCATCCTTTTCAAAATGACATTATGTAATGCGTCTGTTATTTACCTGTGGCCATGAATCTTGTTTCTATGCCTGGAATATTTATAATGCTCAAACTAAGCTTGAAAAACTATTTGCAAGGATCTGACTGGTAAATTACATGACCATGGAAATAATTATGTTTTCATTGGGAACATTCTATGTAAAGAATAACATCACCTTGGAGAAAATATTCTGGTATATTTCCACATTATGCTATTTTTTCATTCTGTACACCTCAAAATAACCTAACCCAATGAATTAGCAAGATTCTACTTTCACTTCCTTTAAAGCTGCTTTATTCTTGTTGACTAGAAATCATAGTAATGTATTATGCATAGCCGTATTCCATCTGTCCATGTGATCATGTTCCTGCATTAAACTTTTATTTATATTTATATTAACGTTTATTTATTTTTCTCTGTCGAAGTTAAATAGGAAGTTATCACTTAAAATCCCACAGTGCATGAAACTAAGCAAAGTTAGCCTGTCCGTCTGTCTACCTCTCTCAATGTGCCTTCCCAAGGTTTGTCACCTTTTCCCACTGTTAGTCCCTGGCGATGCAGGAGGGTCTAACATAAGGACAGTGGTGATGATCATTTATCAACATTATGGACCCAGGCCAATGTGTTTTTATCATTGCATTTCTTGAGTTTGAACTGTTTGACTCTTTTATCTGTGTTGGTGAATTCAGCTGAATCCTCTGAGATGCCTACTGTTGTGATTTCGGGCTATACAAGAATTCATTTTGTTGTACCGGACTTTCCTTTCCCATTCACGATGCAAACTCAGGAAACTACTACTACTACAGCTTAAAACTGTTTCCAACACTATGAGGTGTTGTTTATAAAGGAACTTATAGCATCCAAATTGTTGCACTCTTGGTGATTAGCAGCCACTAATGTTAAGATTTTGAGTTGATCGTGATTAATCATGCATCCCTGCTGCATAGCTCTACTGCTGCTTGTGAGCACCTGCCTGCTGCACCAATGTGTTTGTCCACTCCCTGCTCCGCTGACCTCTCCCATTCTTCTTCTCCTCAGTGATAGCGAGGAAAAGCCACTGAAGGACGGCAGCTTGTGTTTCCTGACCTGCGATGACGGTCCGGGGGACAATCTCAGCAGGGACAGCTTGGTGGACTATGCCGAGGGAGGAGGAGAGTTTGACGAAGACGGATCTTTCATCGGTGAATACTCGCAACTTAAGCACCGTGGATCTTTGAGCGAGCCCAACGGACACAGCCTTGTCGCACAAGTCTGAAACGGTCCAATCCGGATTACTAACATATCTGCTTTCCTCGTGTTGAGATAAGATAAGACATAGAAAAAGCCGGAAAGCACCGAAATTGTGCTGCCAAGAGATTTTTCTCTTTACACACCAATAAGTGGACCTAATCTAGATAAGGAACTCATTTTGGAAGTTTGAAGTTTGGAAAAGCACTGTAGTTCGCAGCGCCTCCACAGTCTACACACTGTAGAAGGGATATGAAAGGACACTTGTCACTCGGGGTGGAAGAAGGCGAAAAATGCACTTTGCAGATGCCAAGCTTCAGCAGCCTTCACACTGACGCCCTGTGTTCCTGACCATCCAGGGACTAGCCAGATGCACCATGTTTGTAACTGTTCCTCTCACAATGACATAGACACAACTAAAGCTCAGATTGGTTCAATTCATGTTCCACTAAATATAAAAGCCATAACAATATTACAAACCCAATGCACTGTTCGACTTCCTTGACTTTTGAGTTATTTGTGTACATTATGTAAATACGACACAGATACTGGTTATGTTGTGAATGTTGTTGATATCATTTTGCCATTCTTTTCTATCTGTTTTGTTACATTTTTCTTTGAATTATTAAATATATTAACTCTATCCATTGTTTACGTTTTTGTACATTCCTGAATCTTGTTGGACTTGTTAAAGTGTTGATTTGTCAAAGCGTTTATTTGTATTAACTGAATGCAATATTATTTTAAAATGGCTTTGAGTGATCAGAAAAGTAAAACGGGTCAAATTCAGTATATAATAAATACCAGTTTATAATTTTTGTATCTAAAACAGACTAAAGACTAAGAGTATTATGTTTATGTGATCTGCTATCATAGCCTGTATAAAGATGGACAAAGCTCTCTGAAGAAGTTTTGCTCCATTAGGCTCCCATTGACTGGTATTGAAAAGTAAACTCTTACTCTGTAACCATTAGTGTCACTCTTACCATTCTGGGCTTAATAATACATAGTTCACCACTCCCTATGATCCAGCTTAGTAAATTCAGTTATGACTGGAATTTGGCTTGGCCAATACCACAAGCGGGAATTGGCCTGGGTTACTCTTGATTGACTCTTTGGTTGCAAAGTCTATGCCATCCCCGCAGATTCTCATAGAGCCCTTTCCAGACGTACTGTAGCCCAAATCAGCTTCTCCTACTAGACAAACACCATGGGTGACGTTACAGCACTCAGTCAGTCCAGTCCTTCTCTGGTCTTCCCACTTATGGAAGTTTAAAGTGCAGAATGTATGGCGTGCAACAATACCCAGAGCGTTGCATTCTTTCATCTCTTCAAGGAATTCACTCTTGTTTGTTTTCTGAAATAGCTTTTTTTTTTGCTGTTGGGCTGGATTTTTCAGGGTGACTGACTCTATGCCCCTTTAATAGTATCTAGGGGATGGACCATTTATTGAGACCACAGCTCCTCCGTCTCACACTTCACAAGAAATCAGTCAAATTTAAATACGCTGCCTCTGCATTCTGCTTAAGCCCCCCGCTGTATACAGAAAGCCTGTATTCAACGTTAAACGCTTTGGCTAAACACTGAATATGAATGGACCATAACAATACTATACTCGTTTGCTATTCCTTAAATTATGCACTCAATTTTGCTTTCATACCACGTTTGCAGAAATAGTGGAAGGATACACACATACAGCTAAATTAAACCCACTATTCACTAAGGTCAACACATCCCTGAATCCTAGAATGATTTCTATTTTATTCTACTGTATGTGTCTAATACATGTGGTGGGTTCTCGCTTGCATTATGCATTTTGCTAAAATATTCATCAAGGATATAACTCAAAAAAAGTTGAGGTTCAACCAATCCACATCCGTTTGGAAAGAGATACAAAGGGAATCCAGCAGCAGCAGTGTTTGCAGCAAAAAATCTAAATGTTTCATGGACTGGGACACGTTCAATGTTTAATATAGAGTGCGTTAACATTGTATAGTACAGGCACTATATTATTGTTTCAACATACACCCATTTTAAAACAGCAACAGTAAATCTACTGTATTGCCTATTGATCAAGGTACGTATTTCATCTGTGACTACTTTTATTTTCTGCAAACTATTAACGAATCTTCCAGTGACTTACTCTTTCTATAAGTATAAAGTATACCTAAAGAGACGGACTGGCTTCACAGAGCACACACTATTCAAAGATCCACATTGAAAGATGCAGAAATTGTACCTTCTCAATATTATCAAATGTCTCCCTTCATGTACCAGAATAATGTATTTAGAATACTAATTTTCAGGAATCCATTACATTTTTGGTGGCATTAAGAATATAGTTACTTTCTGAATTCTGAAGATCACATGTCATATTTGATCATCATAAAAGGTTATGTAAATGTGACATTACAACATCCCAAAGCCAATACTTTAAAATTGAGGTGCTGCACAGCCATTAACTATACATGGCGCCACTGATATGTTAAAGTCAGATCCTGTCAGACTTATGAAATTACGCAGGGCAGGGCCTGGTTAATCCAGACCTCTGAGACCTCAGAGAACACCAGGTGCCTCAATGGGCCGGCTGTAAAGTGCAAAACTGTTGTTGTCTCCTTAGGCAAGACACCCACCGTGAATGGGGGTTCTATCTACTGTTCATCTGGACAAAAGCACAGACAAGACGAAAGGATTTTTCAAGTGAAAATATCTATTAAAACCCACATTGCCTAGAATGGTGTGTGCTTCTGTCAGTGTGCCCCAGGACAGCTGTGGCTACGTTACTAGTTTATCACCAACGGGTTTGGAATGAATAATGCCATGTAAAGCTTATTTGAGTGTCTAGAAAAGCGCTATATAAAACCAATGCATTATTACATGACGTCACCCATAGTGTTCACCGAAAGCAGAAGAGGCCCATTTCAATCTGGAGAGACTTTGAGGAGACAAAATGCATTTGAAGTTTTTTATTGAAAGGTAGTTTGACGCCCTAGGCCCCGGTGCGGCGTTCAGTCAGCGAGGCTCCTGCGAGAGTGGGCGCACAATCCCCCGGGACCTAGGCACTGGTGGCGGCATTCGGGCAGCAGGAAGAGGCATGATTGAGGCAGGGTGAGAAAAAGGAGGAGGAGGGGAGGCGGTGGTTTGCAAGGCTTCGAGAAGGCCGTAAAGAGGGAGTTTCTCCGCTTTTAAGCGGCTGGCCTGGCCGGCATAGGTTGGTTGGAAATGGGCGTTTGCTGTGCGATAGGCTGGGGATGCGAGGCCGGCCTGGAAGGGGTGGCTTTGGCTGACGTCTTCCAGAATTGAATTTCCGCGAGGCTGCATTTCAATCTGGAGAGACTTTGAGGAGACAAAATGCATTTGAAGTTTTTTATTGAAAGGTAGTTTGGCGCCCTAGGCCCCGGTGCGGCGTTCAGTCAGCGAGGCTCCTGCGAGAGTGCGCGCACAATCCCCAAAAGGCTGTGCGTTTGATGGGGTTATAGGCAGGCCTGGTTAGCAGGGGACAGACGAACATGCACCGCTATATATAAAGGCAACACTATTTATAAATGCAACACTATTTATAAAGGCAACACTATTTATAAATGCTTGGCTGCTGCCGCCGCCAGGGAGTTTTGCAAGCTTTACGGAGATGCCAATAGACGCTGGGCTGCCAGAATGGTCAAAGTTTCCGGCCTGATGTATGAGGAGAGGGCAGATGATGACCAGCGACCCAACTGCTGAAGGGCAGAATGGGGGAGTCCCAGGGAAGCAGCGCAATTATAAAGGCAACACTATTTATAAAGGCAACACTATTTATAAAGGCACCGCTATATATAAAGGCAACACTATTTATAAAGGAAACAATATTTATAAAGGCACCGCTATTTATAAAGGAAATAATATTTATAAAGGCACCGCTATTTATAAAGGCAACACTATTTATAAAGGCACCGCTATATACTGTATAAAGGCAACACTATTTAGAAATGCAACGCTATTTATAAAGGCACCGCTATATATAAAGGCAACACTATTTATAAAGGAAACAATATTTATAAAGGCACCACTATTTATAAAGGAAATAATATTTATAAAGGCAACACTATTTATAAAGGCACCGCTATATACTGTATAAAGGCAACACTATTTCTAAAGGCAACACTATTTATAAAGGCACCGCTATATATAAAGGCAACACTATTTATAAAGGCACCGCTATATATAAAGGCAACACTATTTATAAGGGCAAAACTATTTATAAAGGCAACACTATTTATAAATGCTCAGCTGCTGCCGCCACCAGGGAGTTTTGCAAGTGCTTACGGGGATGCCAATAGACGCTGGGCTGGTGGAGGATGGACAGTGTGATGGGGCGCCTGTGGTCCGAGGAATGAGGGGTGCAGTTGAATGCCTTTGATGACGAGTTTGATCAAATAGAGAGGAGAAAGTGGGGTTGTGACAGCGGGCCTGGAATTGGATCCCGGCGAGAAGAGAGCGAATGTAAGATCTTGTAGAGGAGATTGTCCGCACAGTGAACTATGAAGGCGCAGATGGTACACACAGAGGGCGGAATTAGGGGAATGCTGTGAGCGTAGCAAAAGCGGGAGTAGACTTTTCAAGCAAAGCAGTAAGATTTCAGCGTGGAAAGTGAGAGGCCCATTTTCATGTAGGATGACGCGGAGGAGAGGAGAAGGTGAAGAGACGGTGGGACTAGTTCAGGGCGAGGGATTCCATGGCGTTGAATTGGCAGAGTGGCAGAGGCGTCGGAACTCCTGGAATTTAAAACGAGAGAGACAAGCAGCAATACAGTTAGGGTGACCAGGGACGTGACGAGCAGTGATGATTATTTAGGACTGAGAGCCAAGTGATGCGTCTGAGGAAGGACATGACTTGGGGAGAGGACGAACGACCTGTTAATTATTTCTGCCACGTCGAGATTGTCACATATCACGGAAATCCTTTTTTCTGTGCCACGTGTGGCTCCACAGCGCGCAGGCTACGGCCACGGGATATATTTCATGGAGTGCGGAGGAGATGCTTCGAAGGAAG